TGTGTTTCGTCAGTGCTATACTGCACCCTGGCTGGCTTGTCCCTTCCTTGTGACCCTTCATGAGGGGATGTCCAATTGTCTACATGTACAGTCATAAGTATCAAACTTATTTTTTCCAGCTTTCTGGAAAACACAGAATATAAAGAAGAAAATCAAAGTAATTCATACCGTCGCTCAGCAATATTTTGTAACACCTTAGAGTATTTCCTTCCTGTCTTTTTTCTGTGCATGCAAACGTACCTAGAGATACAGCGTTGAGACGGCACCCAAACTACTGCTTTTAACCATCTTTTTCCACTTGACATTATGTTTGGCGCACTTCCCACACTATTGCAAGTGATTGTATGACAGTCCCCCATATGGATGTCCTTAGGCACTTTCCTTTCCTTTCCGTTTGTTTTTGTTTGTTATTGCAAACCATGAGGAACAGACATTTCGAATATACATCCCTATCCATGTTGTAGATAATTTCTTCAGGAAAATGTACTGGAAATTAACTTCATGGTTAAGGCAGAGACCAATGAAATGCTTTTCTACCTTGAGAAAGTACTAAGGAGCCCTGATGGCAGAGTGGGTTACACTTTGGGCTGTTAATCCCAAGGTTAGTGGTTCAAACCCACCAGCAGCATGGAGGGAGAAAGCGGAAGCTTTCTTTGCCCATCAAGGTTGATAGCCCCAGGGGCCAGTTCGCCTCCGGCTGAAGGGCTGCTGTGAGTTGGCAGTGAGTTTGGTTGGGTTGATGACAGTCCTTTCAGAAAGTCTGCACGGCTTTATTCTTCCACCAGTATCTCCTCAGCACCCAGGCCTAGCATCACGGCAAAGCAGAGACCTGGCACGTTTGAGCCATGAAGAAAATGGCATGTCAGCTCTAGTCATTTGCCTGCTTTTGGTTATTTGTTGAATTCCTTTCTTCTAGTTTTTGCACGCGGATGAAATTTTTGCCATTAGCTTCTATTTTTCCCCTTTTGGGTTTTGATATTTTCTTCCAGATTTCAGAGTTCCTCCTAAATCAACTGCTTTCCCTTCATCTCTGTAGTGAAATCCACCCTACTTTGCTGCTACAAATTTTAATTTTCTATTTGCCGTGAGGAAGAGTAACACGTGCATGAAATTTCTATACTTTTCATGTCTCCCTCTTTCTCCCTCTCGGTGATGTAGTGCGATACTTGTTTGACTGCTAACCACGAAATCACCGAAACCACGAAATCACCAAAACCACCAAATCACTGTGTGGGCAAAAGATGAGGCTGTCTGCTCCTGTAGAGACTACAGCCCCAGACACCCACAGGGACAGCTCTACTCGGTCCTATAGGGTCACTATGAATCAGAATTGACTGATGGCCGTTAGATCTTTGCATTTACTCAGAAGTTAGACAATCATGGACCCATTCTAAATACTTTAAGAAAAATAGTTAAAAACTCTACTAGGACCACTAATGTATGTTTAGGCAATCCCCCTTTCTTCTAGTGGTTTAACGCTTGTTTTAGTTATCATCTAATTATTAATAACTGCAAAATATGAACTCCTGGCATTTGCATCAGGTTTCCCAAGGATCTTCAGCTATGCAATCTAAGCGGAGCCTCTTAACAGTCTTACAAGGTCACGTATGCAGAAGTCTGAAAAAGAGATTCTTTGAGATGCATGGATGCATGTAGTCTCTGTGGTAGTTACATAATCTGGTGTCAATTTGAGACTGTGAAGAGTGAAGGGGTGGAGTTTAGTCTGTCAATCAGGTGTAGCTTGATGACTTCATGTGGCAGCGTGGATGAGTTACATAGCTCACTGGAGGCCACACACACTCTGCTTCATCTTCCTGTTGGCAAGTCACATGGAGCTACGCTCATGGAGACTGGAGTGGAGGAGCCACATGGAGACCATGCCAGAACTGAGATGCTTCCACTGCCACTGGATCCACAAGGCTTTCCCCTGACTGGCCTATGATCTTCCTGCATTCAGTGTCATTACATGTATTGCATGGGTCTGAAGAGGAATTTATAGACTGGTATTGGGCATGTGGGCTAATATTGGACTTATGGACTTGATTCTGACTGGACTGGGGTGTTTTCCCAATATACAATTACTCTTTGATGTACAGCTATTGCTTATACACATGCGTGTCTATGAATTTGTTTCTCTGGTCTACCTGGACTGACACGGTCTCCTTTACTCCTGTTTTACTGTCAGAAAATGAGGACATTTTTGTTGGTTTCCTACCTTTAAAGCTTAGAGCTCTGGGGGAAATATGATCGCTCAAGGGTTTAGCAGGTTTGCAAGGGTAGGTAGGCATCGTTGTGGGCTGAGACGTTCTAAGAAGCAAGGTCAAAGTCTTCCCTGCAGATACCTCTGCTTGTCAACAGGGGCCTTGGTGACTGTGGCCACACGTGGTGTTTTGGCTTCAAGCGATGCTGACATTGTGGGTGAGCAGAGGCAACTCCCTGAGACAAGCAGAGCCCAGCTCCTCTGGGAGTGGGGCTGGGATGAGTGCCTGCTTCTGAACTAATGGGCAACCCAGTGGGCAGGCCAGGGCACGGATAAATGAGTGTGAAAAGACCGCTGCTGCGGCTTCCAGGGTTGCCTTAAGAAAAACCAGGCATGTTATCCCTTTCCTTGCCTGTTGAGATTATTGCTTTGATGCTGAGTATTTTGGGTCAATTCCTATTTATGGAAAATCTGTTAAAAAAGGAATAACTCCAAAAAAACCAACAAGCCAAACCAAAGCAAAACAGCTCCCTTCAGCAACATACAATCGAATCTGTGGGTTTCCATGCATACTTCGGTCAGAAAGTTCTGCTCAGAGGCAGAGGCTGGATCTAGGCAGAAGCCAGGGTCCCCTGTGTGCTGTTCCAGTAGCCTTTGGGCACAATATGTCCCTTGGGATGTGAGGCAGTTCCTTACGAGTTTTGTCTATCTGTAAATGCGAGCTTCTGCCAAACGAACGATTCTGCCTTGTCTGGAGACGTAGGGAACTGGCCACAGAGGGGACAAGGAACTGGGGAGACCTTCGGAAGTACCGGAAATAACTGTGCACCCATTATTTTTGTTTTGTTTTACCCTCAACCATTTTGAAGCCTGCAGGAAATGTTTTAGGGTTTAAAAAAAAATCTCGTTTTAAAAAAATCTTACACTTACCAGAAGTACATTTATGCATAAAATAGCTCGGGGTAGTTTTCACAGTTGGATGGCAGAGCAGATAGGTCATGGAAAGGCTGACGTGTGGACGTGTGTGCTCCTCTTTGCCTTCTGTAAGTCTGGAAGGGCCCTTCATTTGAATAATCACGAGGCAAGGCCAAGGCAGGGAAGACTGTCCCTGCAAGGCTGCCACATCCTCCCGCTCCCCGGGGAGTCGCTGATTGAGACTTCACATTTTATAACATGAAGGGCCCTAGAGTCAGCCAAGTGGGTGAGGGCAGGCGCCTGCTGTCATCACATGGTGTCTCTGTTGGTTTGGCAATGTTATCAAATGACTTTCACACTTGGGCCAGGGCAAGATGGTTCAGGAGTGTCTCTGTGTGTGGGTGTACGTGTGTGTAGACACGTGCTTGTCTGCCTCTACTCCCCCTTGGGCTCTTTGTTTCTTTCACTACGCCCCATGCCACGGCCCAAACACTGGGGAGTCTCCGCATGGGCCCCCATGACCTCCTCTGCTGGTTTTCTTAGTGACTTATCCGAGTTGTATATGCTGACCCGTATCACTCAAGACCCTCCCGCCCTCTGTTCCACTCCCCCTTTTGGCACTGCTAGAAAAGTGACAAGCTAATCTGAAAAGTAATTCATGCTCACGAGCTTAATGGGTCTGCCTGCCAGATAAGAATCTTTTATCAAGCCCTGAATGTCTTCACTGAAAGAGGGGTGGGGAACCATTTTTCTACCAGGGCCATTTGTTGGTAACACCACTCATGACCCTATGGAGTTATCCACCTAAAAACCAGCCATTTCACTCTCTCACCCCTCATGCGACAGCTGGAATGGCTTCTCTTTGAGGAGGTGTGTGATGTGAGCTGCTATTGATGATTGCTGTGGGCCCATCCACCCTCAGAGTGGACACTCCCCACCCCTGATCTAACGTTTGTCTGACTCCGACAAGGGAGAGCAGCTTCTCATCTCCACCCCCAAAGCTCCCATTCTGCGTGAGACTGGGATTCAGGCATCCTGATGGTCCCGGTGCTCCACAGATAGTCCTGGTCTCATCCTTCAGTTCATGTTTGACTTGGAACATGGAGGGCAGGTCTTCAATTTCAATGCTCGAGCAATCTCCAACAGATGGTAGAAGTATGACGAACAGCAATACTTATGAGGCAGTGACAGACACACCTTTCCATTACAATGAGGGGGCTCGGGGTTCTCAGCGCCAGTTTTGCCTAAATTGGGCCTTTACGGGTGTCTGAGGCTCCCATGCACATCAGTCAATGTTTCTCTGAGTCCTAGGGTTGATGCGTTTGCATTCTATTTTGCTCTATGTACTGTCTTGAGAATATTGTGAACACATTTGGTGAAGTCTCAAACCCATACCATTTTACACATGGCAATAAATTGCATTCCGGATAATGCCTGTCTTCCTCTAAATCTCTGGCTAAGGCTGGTAAGAGCCATCTCTCCTTTGCACACATGGTCCAAATCCCGGAAAGCAACAGCAAACCACCTAAAACAGCAAGTGGCAATTCCCGTGCAGCTTGAGAGCAGTCTATTATTTGGACTGTCATGGTAAGAGGTCCTTCACCGGCTACAGAAGGTAAACCTAAGACTGCTATCACGACAATAAAAACGTTCTACAACAATGCTGGAACAACACAGAGGGGAGTGAAAAGCAAGACAGATGTCATATGGCATGGTCACTTCTTACCAACTCCCCACGAAGGAACTTCGGGGAAGCCCTCGGGAGTCACAGTTCCGATAACACAACTGGGACTGGACCTGTTGCTCTTCCTTCCGAAGGGGCGGCTTACCTCTGAACCCAGGAGGGCCCCTCTGTCCAGGTTGGCCCTTCAGCCCCACGTGTCCAGGCAGTCCAGCGTTCCCCCGGGGCCCGGGCTGCGCTCCCAGGACTTCTCCAGGAAGTCCCCTTTCGCCCGCGGGTCCGTGTGGCCCTGGCAGCCCTATGGGGCCTGGCTGTCCATCTTGCCCAGGGAATCCTGCAGCACCTTTGGATCCTCGAGGTCCCACGAACCCTGAAAGGAAACACAGGTGACCCCCAAACCACAGGTCAGCATCATGACACTGGAAGAGAAGCTTTCTGAAGAGACTGAAAACTAAGGATTTGCAAGGAGGGTCCTCACCAGCTTGAGGGTCCTCACAGCTGAAGACCCTGCGTTCACCTGCTTCTGTCAGTGACCTAAACTACTTCTGCTCCTCCCTCTGGCCACTCCCCCTCACACTTAGCTAAGGCGAACCAGGCCTCTAGGACTAACTCCTCCTCCTCTGTAGATCTGCACAGTTCATGGCTGCGATGTCTGGAACATAAGCGCACACAGAAAACTATTTGGGTGGGCCCTGCTGTGTTCTGTGTGGGAGTGAGGGGCGGCATTCTCTGAAGAGCAGAAGCAGGGGAGGCTGTCAGAATGATCCAAGGCCAAGTTCTGCTGCCCTGACCCCCCTATCCTCCTGGTAACCCATCCTTAGTGGACCATTTTACAAGCACTCTGCAGAGGCATTGAAAGCCCTCGGTGGCACGCACCATGAAAATCAACAGCCATCACGTCTGAATGGGGAGACGGTGGCTGTCGTGGGCTTGAATAGCTGTGCCTTTTGTTGACGTCACTGGGTGAAATGATCTGTCGCGTGACTTCCCCTTTCCACACACTGAGCCCTGATGTGCCCTCTGATTGAACCCCGAGTGCTGACGGTCACACATCTGCTCAGAAGGAAAGGTTTCTGCGGGTACTGCTAACTCGGCTGTAAGACGAGAGAACCCTGCACCGGTGAGCATCGTGCTCTAAAGAGGTCATTGAGCCAAAGGGTCAAATGTACGAAAGACACCACACCTTATGTTTGGGCAAGGAGGAAGAGGAATTGTCTCCTTTCTGGGCCGGGTGGGGAACAACCCCAACCAAAGGCTCAAAGGATCGGGACCTCAGGCCCTTTTTACAGTCGCCAAGCCCGCACGTCTGCAAACTGGGAGATGGCTTACTGAGTACAACAGGGTTTGGGAAAGACTCAAAGACCTTAAGTGAAACTGAGGTTCCCCTAAGCTGGGTTCCTCTTTCCACGTTTTAATGATGGGCCTTACTCTCAATAAGGTGAGCTAGGGCTTCCATGGAAATGTGGAAATATGCTTTGTAGTAACTGTGCCCGAGGAGCTATGACTTAAACTCTCAAACGTGGCTTCTACATCTGGAGTAGACTTATTTTTGTAATCTCTAAAGTTGGATGTTTATGCTCCTGGGGTGACGGAGGACAGCATTTTTGAAAGCGAGGGAAGGCCATGCGTGTCAGAGGGGACCTGCGCTGGACAGGGTTTCCGGGGGACTGGTTTCCAGAAATAGATCACCAGACATCTATTTTTTTGCAGGCATCTCTGGGGGACACGAACCTCTGGCCTCTTAATTAGGTGGTGGGTTTACACCCCCCCAGGGACCCAGTGTATTTAAGTACCATACAAAGTGGAGGACGTTTCAACAGTTGAATCCATCAGGTCTTTAACATTCACCTGGTCTACCTCAGTCTCCCTGCTCACTGAAGGGTTTGCATCACAGGTGGGAACAGACTTCCTATCGTCTTGTTGACGGGTCAAATCGCCCAGCAACAGGGCCGCCGTAAGCAGCTCCCGCTACAGTAGACCTCTGAATAAAGTTCATGTCTACCTGGCTCTGTATTCCCATGAAGATCACTAGGGTCTTTGCAGATTCAAAGTGAAGGAAGCGCTTAAGGAATTCTTCTCTCAAAGTAATCGATGCTTATACTTCTTACATGTGACATCTCCTCACAGCGACAATACTGTGACAGCTTGACATTTAGATGTGCCCCAAAGGTCAGCAAAACAACTCCGATTGGCCCTCATGTGGAGGCACGAGAACTTCCCTTTGCTTCCCTCCACTGCAGGATCATATGGTGCCTTGAACAAAGACCCAGAGAGCACGCTCCTGGAGGCTTTGGCAAGACACAGGGGATCGAGGTCACAGTGGTCTTTCTGGGCTGGAAGAAGAGAAAGTCTACGGTGGACTGATACAATGTTCTGCATCTGAGTCCAAGGGGATGACAGGGAACAGTCAGCGTTCCATTAACATTTGCTAAAGATATCTGCCAAGTGCCTAATCAGAGGCCACAACAGTCTCACTGTGCTGTGTGAAATTCCACACATGTGAAGCATTCCATCAGTTTCTGGATCGAGTTCAAAACGAATGCTGACAAGCTGGGGGTGGGGGAGGTTGGGGCTGCAGCAGGTGATGGTGATGAGGGCCTGGAAATTGTTTCATAGAAAGAACGTTCTATTACGGGGAGAAGTTCTGCCTGAGAATGAGATGCCCGTGGGAAGTAGTGAACATTCTTTCTAAGTGTGTGTGCGGGGTGGCTACGAAGAAGCAGACATGCATACCCTTACTCGGTTAAGGGAGAACTGACAGGGCAGTCGGTTTCACTCCAACAAAGGAAGGACTTTCTAGCAATAAGAGGGCCTTCGTGTTTCACGGGTCCTGGGTAACCAGGGGGGGCCCTGGGTGTGCAGTGGCTGCTAACTGAAAGGTTGGTGGTTTGAACTCAGCTGCTGATCCGAGGGAGTAAGATGAGGCCGCCTGCTTTAGCAAAGGTTGACAGCCTTGGGATCCCTATGAAGCAGTTCTCCTCTGCCCCATAGGGCGGCTCACCGTCTGAATTGACTTGCTGGCTTGCTTTCGTTTGATTCCTTGTCATGTGAAGGTATCTTCCGCAAAATACTAGCATGCGCTCAGGTGCAGGAATAATGATGGCGAAATCAAGAAGCCACGGACAAGTACACCATTTGCCATCAAGTAGTTGTGGGGAGAGTTTCTAAAAGTTGTGAGATAACTGAGCTGGGGCTCTATCGCCCCACGTACACAGGCCATTTCCCGACCCCACGTGGCTGCCTGGGGCACGGGCTTCACTTACCTTGTGGGCCTGGGAACCCTTCACGACCTGGATCACCTGGGAAACCCTTGAGCCCTGGATCTCCATCGGGACCTGAGAATCCTGGCATTCCTCTGTTGCCTTTGGCACCTAAACAACCCAAACAGACCACAGAGCAAGTCAGCCCTCCAGAGGAAACCCCACCAGGATTGTCACAGAATAGCATCAAGTTCTGCCCAGACTGACTGCATGGCTGATGAGGAGGCTACAGAAAAGTACGCCGACCGGAAAAGAACAGCGCTGGGATTAGGGAATGGTTTCAGTGTTGACAAATCATGCTGAGTGCGTCTTCATTATGCTGCCGTTATGACATAGTTAGAGTACACAGTAGCTCACTTTTAGGCTCGAGGTCGAGAGTCAGAATGCCGAGGTGTGAATCCCGACCCTGCTTCGACTCTCTGTGACCCCCGACAAGTCGTCACCTCTCTATGCCTTGCTTCCCCAGCTAGAAAGCAGAGAAAGTAAGAGCCCCCACTCCGTGGAGCTTGTAAGAGGATTCAATTTGCCATCAGTTAACTATTTGAACACGTGAGCTCAACAAATGTTCTTGAAATTAAAAGGTGATGTACGCCACTAATGCCACAGAGCGGAACTTCTACGCTTTCCATTCGCGTGCCCAGCTTTTCTGTAGGAAGAGGCAGCCACGGGACACAGACTCACCTATATCCCCCCTTGGAAACTGGCTACGCAACTGGCCGTGGTGAGGGAAGAGACATATAAAACGTGAAGGGCCCACAGTGATAGGGGAGGCCCATGCTAGGAAATAGCAATGATGACCACAGCAGGGGATGGCTGGGGAGCCACAGAAGCACCGGCCCAGGCTTCCAAGAGCCCCTGCCGGTGAAAAGTCCTCAGATTGAGTGGGTAGTCCAGCCGTGTGTCTCCTGGGTGCTCCTCTAGCCCCCCTTTGGCCACCAGAGACCTAGTCTTTAAGAGGTTCTTCCTTAAACCGAGCTCGCAAAAAAAATGACATCAAGGACATACATGACCTTAAACACAAAGGGCTTTTGGTGAAAATTTCCCATGTTTAGTTCTGTCTCCATCAGATACAGGGTCAACATCAAAAGGTCCAAAGATCCAAAGCCCATTAAACTGGCTGGAGCTGAGTAGACCCTTTATCAAGAATTCTAGGCCCTGGCCTAAGAAAATCGCCTACTTTTAAAATTCATTCAGTTTATGAAGAGGAAGACCAAGAATGGTACTGCGGAAATTCAATGCTGGCTTTCGGCTTCCCTGACAGACTGTCTACACGGAAGAGAAGAGCCGGAAGAATCAAATCTACAGGGTCATCGCACTCTCCTTTCTGGGGTAGCCGAGTGACGCTGAGCGGATGCTGCCTAATGGCTGGTGACAGGGAGACGCCTGGCTTTGTCAAGATAAGGATTGGTCCGTGGGTTGAGGAAGCTCTCAGTCTTTTGCCTGTGACAGTCTCTAACGCTAACATAATGTTTTTCAACAGTCCCTTATGCTTGTCTTGGAGCCCTGGTGATGTAGTGGGTTACGTACTGGGCTGGTAAGCTCAACAGGGTCCACAGTTTGAAACCAGTAGCTACCGCAAGGGAGGAAGATGAGACTTTGTTTTGTAAAAAGTTCGTCTCGGAAACCCACAGGGGCAGTTCTACCCTGTCTTACAGGGTGGCGGTGAGTCAGAATTAACTTGATGACTGAGTTTGGTGGTGGTGTTTTGTTTGTCTGCTTTGTTTTAAATGCTTCTCTGAGGTAGGAAGAAAGGAAAGCGCAATCGAGGTTGGGAGCCAATGTCAAAAGAGATTCCATTTTTCATAGCGTATTCAACTCCTCCAGGATTATAACTCTCGAGGCAACTGAAGTTCCATCAAAGTCAGCTTTATAAGAATATGCTTGTTTCATAACTCCAATGTTCTTGTAAGTCTACAAATAGCAATGTCATTCAGGAACAGAGTGAAGGTCTTTGCATCCATGAGGTCTACATGAAGGTCATGGCAGATACAGCAAAAGTATTTTCTTCTCAAGTGGTCTGAGAAGAAGATGCATTTGATGAGCTCAACTCCACACTCGGTTCCTGAAAGGAATCCTGTGCAGGCCTCCAAGGCATTTTCAGACACTTGATATCAGCTCACAAAACTAATGTATTGCCTCAGAAATCCACTGGTAGTTGAGGACAACAGGCTATAGCAGGAGTCCTGCTATAGTGGGTGCGACCCACCGAGGACATTTATCTGGCCCGCCGGGTGTTTTTGCCCGTTTTGTTTTTTCACTTCAAAATAAGGTATGTGCAGTGTGCATAGAAATTTGTTCATAGTTTTTTTTTTTAAACTATAGTCCGGCCCTCCAGTGGTCTGAAGGACAGTGAACTGGCCCCCCGTTTAAAAAATTTGAGGATCCCAGGGCTATAGTATGCCCAGGAGATCAATTTGCACAGGAAGCAGTAACAATAGTTTTGGTTTTTTTTTAAGATGGGACTCATTTCACAATGTAATGAGAAATTTAAGACATCTCAATTTAAGACACAATCAGTTCAGAATTGAGATTTAAGAAGCTACCAAGTTGTTCTGCTTAAACAGGAGCAAGGGCCTTGGTGGTAGGTGAGGACCAAGGGCAGGAATTAGCCTCTGAGCAACACAATCAAAGCGAATCAGCACCGAGCGGAACTGGACGCATGGTGCTCCCATCTGGGTCAGAGTACAACTATCCTACCAGCTGAGTTTGGGGCACCTGGTCTTCAGGCTTGTCTTGCACGGTGCCTGTCGGGCGACTTGAGCTAGGTTCTTTCAGTTAGCAGCTGCGGTGTTAGTCATTAGCTCCCAGCAGCGATTCCCAACAGCAACATAAGAGTAGGGAAGTCCATGTTTCTAAACAGTGCAAATCTTAGGTAATTGTGAAAAATGTGAGCATTCCCAGGGTTCAAAGATTTCTTCTGTAACCATAAAACGCTAGCATCTGGTGGGAGTTGTTGACGAAATTGCCATCATTAGATTACACTAACTACATTCAAACTTTGAGCTGTCTGTTTACTATCCATATCAGTGCTCGGCAAGAAGCAAAATCTTTATGTTCAAAATGTGTGCACAGATTAATTTCAAAACAAAGAGGCAGAAAGAGTAGTTTGCACATTCCTAACATCCAAAGGATATTGTTTTAAGATCATTGCACATTTGAATAATCACATTATCGACTAGCTATTAGCCTGTAAGTATTAGTTTACAAAGAGATTATTCAAATGTGCAATGAGCCTAAAATTAAATTAGAGTCTATTCCAGACAAATTGGTTTTTTAAATCTTTGATCTCATTAAGCTTTTTTTTTTTTTTAACAGACCCCCCCCTGAGGGGGTGCACCCTTCCTGGAGATACTGCAATACCAGCTTGATGCATAGAGTGAATGGAGCAAGCTGCTAGTCTACCTCCTACTTACAAAAATACATTTAATATATTGTCCTCTGATAGAGGGCATATCAGATGGTAGACTGATGAGAACAGATACTATACTTGATCTTAGCCCCAAGACCAAGAAGTGATGATGGGCAAACTTTGTCAACGTTGCGAGGGAAAGATACACGAGACTATACTGCTGTGGGGCATGGGGTCAAGAGACATGTTCCCTTCGCAGATGACAACACAAGGAATATCGAACTCTCTTTCATGGTGAAAATGCATTTTGCATTTTGTCTTTATTGCTCCCAAATCTGGAACTGTGCCTCGGAAGATGCCATTAAGGTTCAAGGCACATGAAATAATACGTTGATATATATTCCAATAAAAAAACAATTCAAAGGACTTCTCCAGCTCTGAGGGTCATTTACACTACACTGTATCTGACATGCTGGCTTAGCCTTTGTTAGTTTACATAGTAGTACCTTGCCCACGTTTGATGATTTGAAGTAGTAAATACTTCAAATACACTTATGCTATAGAGTGAGTCTACAACACCGCTACAACTCTTGTTTCATAGGCCAGGAGAGTACGTTCCAGAAAGAGAAAGTGTTCACTAGGATTTCAGTGCAGATTTTTTTGACTCTTGCTTATCTTTTGTCTCTACCCTGAATGATCTGAGTGGTGTCATTCGTGGGGTGTGAAGACACTTTGCCCGGTCACAATCAGCCAAGTGGAGAACTCAAATGGAAATTTTCTTCTATTAACTCTAGTCAGAGTATTAACTTTTCTTGGCTCACTGACACAGAAAATGACAAGTCTCAGAAAAGCACATGGAAGGTACTTAAAGGGCATGCCTGGACGTGCCTTCTACTTTGTGACCCCTACTCCTCATTTGCCACCATGGAAACCCTGGAACCACTGGGAGAAGTATCCAAAGGTGGCCTCTCAGGTCTCATCTAGGTGGGAAATGCCATGCTACAAAGCGAACAGCCATGAGCCACCCTAGACATGGGGATCGGTGAGAGAATCCTTACTTATTTTCATGGGTGTTTTCTTTGGGGTCATCAGTACATGCCGGTGACCAACACCCCCTTCCTCCTAGATGGAGAGACAAAACTTCCTAGCCTTACTTATTGATCTTTTCTTCTTAGGCAAAACACCAAAAAACGGGTGTTTTGCCTCAATTTTCAACCAAGGAATAGTCAGCTTTCTGAGGGGAATCATCAGACTAGTGAGGTATGCACACCTAAGAATAATCAAAGATTTGAGATTAAAAAAGGCAGCATTTGCACAAGGACAAGAGCAGGGTCAGAAAAGAAGGAACAATGGTAAAGAGCAGCAGACAGGACGTGGGATTAGTGCAGTTGCATTATGGGGATGGCAATCAATGACTTCAAACAAAACATGTATGAATTCTTGAATGGAAAACTGATCTGTTTCTGTAAATCTTCACCCAATTCAAGCAAAAAGTTAAAAAACAAACAAACCCCAACAACAACAATAACAACGACCCCCCCGCCAAGAAATCACCTGTAGATTCTTCCCCTATTTGTATATCCAAGGACATGGAGGGACACTTTTTTAAAAAAGAAGACGGAACACATAAAAATAATAAGATCTCTTTCTAAGCTTAAAAGAGGAGGCTTTATTGTTACCAAAAGATAGTTAGGCACTAGGTCTCTGTGACTATGCATGTGCCTTCTAAATTTTGTACAATTGATGAGAAATAGTTGTTTTCTTTGTTGCCTGGGATTTAACTAGGTGCCAACTACCTCATGTGTTTTTAACTAGCAATGAATAAGTGTTCTGACCATAAAAACTGTAATTGTTACGGTAGCATGCCGACATGACAGAGCAGCATGGAGTCTAGGGAGGAGTACATTGGGGCAGAGGACCTATGAACACTGAAAGGCAAAAAGACAAGTGAAACACAAGAGGTCACTGTAGATGTGGGCGTTACTGCAAAGCGAGGTGAGGAAACCAGATGGCGCACGGCTATCAGAATGATGGCATCTGGGGTCTTGAAGGCTGGTCTTCAAACAAGAAGTCAGCTCAGTGAGGGGTCAGCTATGGCCACATGGAAGATGCACACCAGCCTGTGTGCACCAAGGACTGTAGCTAATCAAATCCAAGACCACAGGAGATAATGGGAGGTAACAGAGCTGAAATCTGAGCACCTAGTTTTCGGAAGGCTATGGATGACAGTGAACGTCCAAAATCCATTTGCAGGGTCCCCGCATGGATGAAGCCTCTGGGGAATTAACTGGCCTGGGATTTGACCCGCATTGCTTTAAACAGAGCGCACTGGGAAGCAGACTGAAGCAGACGTGGTTAGGTTAAAATTTAACACCTTGTCAGGTTTTTGCTTTTTTTCTAGTGAAGTTCTCTGTTTCACTCTGTTCTGTTATTGTTGTTTTATACATATATATATTAAATCGAGGAGAGACAAACCTATAGAGACAGTAACTGGATCAATCAATCATTTCTTAGCGTTATGGCAAGGAAGGCTTGGGAAAATGGGAACTTGATGATGAGTAGAAGAAAGAAGAAAATGCTCTAAAACTGACTGTGGTCATGATCGCACAACTCTTTTGAATATGTTTGCATCGTTGAATTGTATGATATGTGAATTATATAGCCATGAAATTGTCAACATTTTAAAAAGTCAATAAAGATATGAACAGCTGTTCTTGCTAAAAGAAAAATGAAGCGTGTGATACAACTGACGCATGGCTGTGAGAGGCCCCAATAAAATGACTGGGAAAAACAGAAAAGGGAAGAAAAGGGAAGCACGGAAGAGAAGGTTGGAAGTGCTCTGAAGCTCATTGAAGAGAACTGTTACCTGTGGGGCCTTGTGGTCCCGGCAAGCCTGGGGCTCCCTTGGGCCCTCCAATACAACCTGGGGAGAGAGGGGGCATGGTGAGCTGAAGGGTCTGAGACACTGAGTCCCATGCCTGGTGTACTGCTCAATTCAAAGCCACCAACCATGCGAACAAGCTGCTGTTTTATGATCAGATAACGTAATGACTTAATTAATTTTGGTTCTGATGTAAATAAGAGTTTAATTTCATTGTACAATGAAATGAGAATCTTAAGATAAAATGCAAATTTTGGAAGCACAGGGGAAAAAAAGCTAGTACCGTGGTCACAAATGACTCATTCCCTCATTTAGGGCAGTAGCCTCGGCACACCCTGAATTAATAGGGGCCCTCTCCAATTAGTCAACATGAGCCTCGGGCCTTTGTCTGGAAATGCCCATCACTTGGATGGAGGGAGCTTATACCTTAAAAAGGCTTCTCCTCCGTGACCTTGAATGCCTTCAGAATGAAACGCAGTAATCAGCCGCTTTGAACAGTTCAAAATTAAACGAGGGCTGCAGCCATTTCTGCTTGGGATGGCTGAGAGCTTTCTAAGGTTTAAGCAGGGGTCTGCTGTTTTGATCTCTTGGTTGCTGCTGCATGAACATTGACTGTGGATCTAAACAAGCCCAACTCCTTGGCAACTTCCATTTGTTTCTCTGTATCATGATACTATCTATTGGGACAGTTGAGTTAAAATCCACACTGAAGACTGCAGTTGTTGATCTTCATTAGTAAGTGCTTCGAGTCCTCCTGGCTTTCAGCAAGCAAGAATTCACTATCTGCGTTTCATTTTAACCAAAAGGGAGGTTTGGTTTAGTGACCAAACTCATGTCTGGTTTGAGGTATGAATACGGTGCCTTAGGGCACCTTTGGAACAAGGTTTTCATGGGAGCAGGGTCATCTCAGTGAGACCGAGTTAAAAGTTAAAGGCTGGAATTTGCAAAATCTTTGAAGAGCTACCAGTTGCTGAGTGCCGAGTCAGCCATCCTCACAATGGCTTTGTTCGAGTCCATTGTTTCTGCCCTGATGAACCCATCAAACTCAAACCTGAAAGCCAATCGCTGTTGATTTGATTCTGAATCCTCATTGGGCTTATGGGACAGAGTGGAACTGCCCCACAGGGTTTCCAACACCGTAATCTTTACAGAAAGGAGCCCTGGGAACACAGAGAAGAAGGCTGGCCTCTAACCAAAAAGCCAACAGTTCAAACCGACCAGCCGCTCTGCAGGAGAAAGGAACACGTGACCATCTGCTCTGGGAAAGATTACAGCCTGGAACACCGATGGACGGTTCTCCTCTGCTGTGGTGTGGTTATTAGCTGAAACAGACGGATAGAATGCAGTACTGCCAATGTTTAGGAAGCCAACTTCTGGATCTTTTGCTCTGGGTGCAGTTGGTGGGATCCAACCACAGATCTTTCCGTTAGCTGCCAAGAGCTACGCCAGCAGAGGTCCTAGATATGAGATAAAATGCTTGGAATACTGCCTGTTTTCAGTTCTGAATGTTTCCTCTGTATTCTCAGCTCCCGCCTTCTCATCATTGCTCCTTTACTCTCCCTTGTAACTCTCCCCCTCCCACCTCCCCGCACCCCAGTACCCATCCACTTAGCCACTTCTATCTTCAGCTCATTGATCCAAGGAGCTCCAGGGCCTCCCCTCACTTTCAGTGTCTAAGTTCAATGTCCTCCTTTGGGCTCTGACCCTTGACTTCTTAATCTGCGTCTTCAACATACATGTAGCGAATCCTTCCAACACTCATGTGGCTAAACCTTCTAACACTGGTTTCTGGTCCGCCAGTCTTGTCATCGTCATCCCACTTGTTGCCAGCTCTCCATTGGCTGGGGCAAATCTTGGATCTTGTCTGGCTCAGGACTGTTTTACGTTCAAGACCTTGGGCTTTGAGAATACTTTATATGATCACAATTTCTTTACAACCCTTATTGGTGTGAGCTCATGGATTCTTATTTTATCGAGTCATAATTCCTTACTCTTACTCATTTTGATACGTCCTAGCTGTGGCCAGGGGAAAGCCCCTTCAGTTTGACTTCCACATGCTTTAGCTGGGTCCCCATCACTTTTCAGCACTTTCTTTCTGGCCCCAAAGGTACCAAATTGTTATCTTGTACGTTTCCCATCTTTAAACTGAAATTAGACAGCTCTCTAAAATAGTTTCAGAATCATTACCCCCATAGCCCTGTGGGACGCAAACCTGCTCAGAGATTTCACCCTTTGCAGGCAGTTCCTTTCTTGTTCTTATCTTCATTCTGGGAATCTAGTTGATTTCGACCCATCGTGACCCTGTACAGGGGTTTCTGAGGCTGCAAATCTTTACGGGAGCAGACAGCCTCATCTTTTGTCTTCATAGTGGCTGGTGGGTTTGAACTGCTACCGTATGGTTAGCCTGTCTACCACTTATCTGCTATGCCACCAGGGCCCCTTCAAAAGAATATTGTTGTCAGAAGTGACCTAGAGTAATCCAAGTCATCCACTTGCGTGCCAGTCCAACTGCAGGGTGTTGGGGTCCAAAGCACAGTGGTGGTGCTGGAACCACATGAGTCCACGGGCTCGGACTCAGGCCTCCTCTGCCTTGCACAATGCCAGTTCTGCACACTGACCTGGTCTTTGGAACCTGGCCAGGTTGATAAGTGAGCAGTGAGCACATAGTAGAGAAATGAGTATAACAATCTTGCTCTCTTCTTGACTTCTTAGCCATCTTACAGATCAACCCAGATGTGCTTTCGAGCGGTGGGCGCATTTTTACAGCACCATGTTTCAGTATGCTTGCCTTTGATTCTAAGCCAATACAAATGGGAAACCAGCTCCACGTTTTACGCAGACGCATTGAGAGTTCTGACTGCAGCTCCAGGCACCCTGCAGCGGCTGAGTAGGCTGTACTGATGAGTCACATGTTTTATAGACCAAGTGTTGTAGAGAGTTCTAAAGCCACCCAGTTTTCGTTACGGTACCTGGCAAGACGGCGCCCTGTCCGGTGCCTCCAATGGGTCTTTTCACATCTGTCTCACAATCTGGGAGAAAGAGAGAAGAGTGAGCGAAGCAACCGGGGAACGACTGCAAGTCACTCACTACCCGTGGATATGTATGTGTCTGAGAATGTGCGCGCGCGCCCATGGGCGTGTGGTGGGTATGTTGCGAAGGCTGAGTACTGGGAGTCAGAAGGCCATTTCTAATCTTATGTTCCCCAAACCAAACTCACTGCCATCAAGTCAATCCTGACCCCTGGTGACCCCACAGGGCAGGGCAGAGCTGCCCCTGTGGGTTTCCAACACTGCAACTCTTTACAGGAGTTGAGAGTCTCAACTTCTCCTCGCAGAGCAACTGGTGGTTTCAAACTGCTCACCTTGCGGCTGGCAGCGCAACACCTAGCCACTATGCCACCAGCGCTCCTTACCTTCTGTTTATCACCTCTATGTGGAAGCACATGAAAGAGAGGTGTACTAAAGTTCAGTTGGTGAGAGGAGGCTGGTGATAGACATGGGAAACACTATAGTTGATTGATCAATCATCTGTGTGTGTTGAAAACTGAGGCAGTAACCACAATAATTTGGTCTAACCCATTTGGGTAATGTATACATTGTCAAAGTAGAATAGAGGATATTCAATCACTAAACAGGGTCTAGTGGTTTAGGGAAAGAAAAAAAAAATTTTCCACCGTACCTAATTGTCCTGGACTGCCTGGGGTCCCAGAAGGCCCGGGGAAGCCTGGTGGTCCAGGAATTCCAATGTCTCCCGGATAACCACGTTCACCTTTCAGGCCTGGTAAGCCTAAGCCTGGGGGGCCCATTTCTCCTTGAATTCCCTTCATGCCATTCTCTCCCGGATAACCTGCATCCCCTTGAGGCCCTTTGATGCCATCACCCTATGGAAAAAAGGGGGTTACTCTTCAAATATTCACAAATACCAAACATCATCATGTCTCCCCATTTCCTGTCCTCTTTCCCTGCATTCTCGGTTCTCGATAAAGGAACAAGCAGAGATCTAGAAAGCTGCAGAGATCCATGGGACCTCACAGACATGGTCGAACCAGTCACATACACCAAGGTCAGCTCTTGGAAGTTATGTGCGGTATCCTAGATGAGAGCGCTGACAAGCACACACACTTGTATGTATCTGAGTATTTGTTTATTTTTCTCTTTCGCAGCCACTATCTTTCTTGCACTGATGTGGCCCTCTATCCCCAGGAAGAATTCTGTATGCGGTTAGGCCAGGTATAGATTTGGAAACACAAGGACAGGGACGTGTTTTTTCATGAGCATCATGATTTGGCCTGGGTAGCATCACTACTGTTCCTCAGGGATAGTAAGTTGCCCAAAGGAAGGCAGCCTTTCACTCAGACGCTGGAGAAAGGAAGAGCAGCCTCCACATTAGAAATGAGAAAGGACCATGTCAGAGTTTGGAGCTGGGAAGGAGGGACAAGGTTCACAGGCTCCGGAATCCACAGGGAAGTTCCCTTCCGTCCTACAGGGTCGCAGTGACACGGAATTAACTTGGTGGCTGTGTGTGCATAACATTTAGTTTGAGTGTTTGTTGCAGGAGTGAGAGCGCACACTGATGCCTACATCATCTTCTTCCTTACAGAAGAAGTGCTTACAGAACGTGAATCAGATCAACACGAGACAGCTGAGCGAACCCCACAGTTCGTGGCTACTCACAGGAGGGCCTGGCAGACCTGGAAATCCATCGAGCCCATCATGCCCAGAGACACCGTCATCACCTTTCATTCCAGGAACACCTGGGACACCTGGTTGTCCCCTGTCACCTGGGAAGAGATTTGTAGTGTTAATCTAGTTATACAAGGGGGGTTAGAATTCTGCTGGTACACTCACAGATCAACTATGGTTTTCCTAGAAGCACTGATCTACAGCACAAGATTACTGACTATTGATTACAAACAGGTCAAATGGTTCAAGAATTGCTGACCCATAAAAGAACTAACCTTTGGTCGTAATCGTTCTAGAATCTCCCTTTATTCCTTTGGGCCCAGGAAGTCCAATGTTACCAGGAGCTCCCTGTGGAAACAACAACAAAATTATGTTCTTCCTCCTTCACCCAGTTACAGATGTCTGAGTAACTGAGAGGGAAGGAGAGAGTGTTCTTCAACTCCCACAACTTGCGTTCAATTATCTGTCCTCTAGCACAGCGCTATCCACAGGACTTTGTGCAATGCTGGAAATATCTTCTTTTGGTGATGCCCTACCTTCAGCCATGGATGACCAACACTCCCCACTGGAGTCCAATACACTACTAGCCACATGTGTGCACTCAGCCCGTGGGCATGAGGATAGTGGGTCTGAGGAGCCAGATTTTAAATAATTTGTAGTTTTAACAAAATCAAAACGAAACGGAACTAGTCACATAGGCGGTAGGTGGCTGCCATATTGGAGAATACAAGCCAGGGGCCAGGCTCCTCCTCGTCAGATCCGTGAGCTAGCGTGCCCAGCACCCCCTGGGCACTGGTGAAAAGCAGAGTCTCAGCCTGCACCCCAGGCCAACTGGATCCAAACTACACTTATAACAAAGGCCCCAGGAAGCCACCTTCTTACTCAAGTGTGAGAAGCATTCATCTCAAAACACAGGGTTGCTCACTAGGAATCAGAACCGCTAAGAACTGCCAGCGCGAGGGGGATGTAGGGGAAAAGAAATACTGCAGAGACATGTTGACTATATAGGCCCCCTAATTGTGGGCTGTGAAGCCTCTCACAGCTCTCTTGACAAGCAGACCCGAGTAGGCCAATACGGTCACACTATTACTCAATTCTACAGAGGAGCATACTTTGCTATGCTGGCTTGTGGCTGGTATATGTGGGTGGAAGTTATTTTCAAGACTATGGGGACTTTTCATGTCCTAAGACACGTCACAGGTCTCCGATGTATGGATTCAGCTCTTGGCTGAAAAGGTTGACCCGTTTTTTCAGGATCGAGGCCAGCGCCTCCCCAGTAGGGAGGGCTTGGGGATTATGTGTTGGGTAAATGGATGGGTGGATGGCATTGAGTGACTGATTGACTCCCATACTTGAAGCACTGAGCCCCGTTCTGTCAGGGCAAATATACAGAAAGTGCTCTCCGGAGTTCCGGCTGCGGGGGCTGCCAGGCACGGCAGCGAGCTAACCAACAGGAGGCCGGGTGTGTGAGCAAGACTGCCCTGGGTGTGTGTCTGTGGAGGATTTTAGACATCACAGGTATCCGATGGGACCCAACTGGCTTCGAGGAAATAGTCAGGCAGTTTTTGAACCACCTACAATCCCGCTGGTTTTGTCATTAGTTTGTAATTCTTGTCATGTACATTTCCCCCCCTGAATTTGTGAGCACTTTTTAAGCGTGTAAACAGCTTTGCTTTGGACAGGGGATCGTTTGGAAACTTGTAGATGAAACAAGAAACAACTGAGATAAGAACATCTATGACCTCTGGCTGGATGGTCCTCGTCGTGTGCTGAGAAATCTCAGGGCACGGGCAGTGAGACCGCATTCGCACCTGCAGAGCTCTGGGGCCCGAGATCAGGATCCTTCAGCACCAGTCGCCCGGCCGGCCGACGGCTCCCCTCTGTCTTGCGAAGCAGAACTAACCTGTCCTCATGAGGCTTAGCAAAAAGAAACACCTCTGTCGTTGAACAGGTACAATGACAGATACAGTCATATTCTTTCAGTCCTCTTCTTACAAAAAAATCTACAATTCCTAAGCCTACATCTGAAGTTTGCTTTGAAATCAGTTAGCGCCTGCCGGCGGAGAGAGAGCTACTCCATGTGACCTTCTCGTAAGGCGTGTAGCAAAGTCTTAGCAGCTTTGTGATAAAGCTGGTCCATGAGAAGACCCCTGTTTGCTGACCTTGAAACCCGGGAAGCCAGGAATGCCATGGTGACCCGGATCGCCTGGCTCCCCTTTCCTCCCTGGCTCTCCGTTGATCCCTGGAAAGCCCTTGGATCCTGGCAGCCCTGGAAGAGCCGGCGTAAACTGGCCATCACATGCACAGTCGCCTGCGTCACCTGCAAGTCGAGGGAGAAGGAGAAAACGTGTTGCTCGTACAGTCTTACAGGGAACAGACACACACAACGGGGCCGGGGTGGGGGGGGTGGGGAGCAGGCTGAGGATAAACATCTACCAAGAAAAGCACTTTACATATCCACTGTCAGTCAGGTTGTTACGGCAGAGACTACTATGCCTATCTCTTAGGTGTGGGCAGTGAGGCTGAAAGTTAGTGACCCTCGGGCAGCATTCATGGTCACTTCCAGAAATGCAATGCTACCCAGACGGGTACCAGTGAGACTTACTTAACCCATGGGAGGGCGGGCAGGAGTGTGGGCAGAATCTAGGGGACTTAGCAACGACTGTCGGGAATCCTGTGATTACGAGTGGCAGGGGGGAGGAGAAGGACTAGCCTAACAGTGCCCAGGGCTTCCAGTCAGGAGCCCTGAAGGGGTGGGACGAGGCCTGGCAGGAGCCATGGTCTTGTAGGCAGGCAGCCATTGGCCAAAGGGTGGCACCAAAGTTGTGCGGGAGAAAGGGAGAAACAGCCACACCTCTCTTCTGTTTTGTCAATGGCTGAACTTGGGGAGTCCAGGGTACAGCATGCCGTTGGTTGGGGTCAGCTCCTCCAAGGCAGAGGTCACGGCAGAGTAGGGCCAAGTGAGAGAGCTCATACATGGGCCTGTCTGCACCCAGGTGGCTTGCATTCCCAGTGGGGTACCGAATGCATGCACCCCTTACCACACACTTCAGAAACGTCAGCCAGGGTCTGACTCTGGGCCTTAATGAGTTATCCTCCATGGGGCGGGAGTGCTCAGCAGAGGCCAGGGTGGGAGCAAGTACCACTGAGTTCAACCTTTTCTGAAAAGATGGTTTCAGGAGGCAGGTGGTGGGAAGGTGCCCTTTGGGTGACATTGTGTCTGAGAGGCAGACACTCCCTCCCTGCCGGGATGGACTGGATGCCGCCTCATCGTGACTCCTAGCACACTGGGGGCTGGGCACTCACAAAACCAAGCTGATTTCATGCTGCATATATTTTCGTGTCATTTGCATGAGAAAAAGTGGTCGAGAAGGGCAGGGTCAATTTTATTTCAAAATAAGCTAAAAAGGGGTCTCAATGTAACCTCTCAGAGTTGCGGCAGACTTAGAGAGGCTGTGATGGTTCCCCACCTTCCCTCCTCAGTTTCCCCCGTCTTTCCTGACCTTTCCATCCTTTTGCTCCCCGAATCCCAGGGGAACCGGAAGGGCCTGGGTAGCCCACCGCGCCCGTTCCTCCTTTAAGTCCAAACAGGAAACCTGAAGAAGACAGAGAGGAGAAAAAGAAAATTAGCCGACCTCGAAGAGTCCCAGCCTCTCCTCACTGAAGGCAGGAAGGTTGTCTGTTAGGCCTTCCCACAGAGAATAGGAATGGCCCACGGACTTCAATTGCATCCCCAAGTACCTTTGAAGAAAGCAATGTAGGCCACATTGCGGCCATAGCTTCCGGAGTTATCAAGAGATGGAAGAGCTGAATGAACTGACTTTTTCCATCAAAATCCAGAGATTAAAAATCTTTCCTTTCAAGAAAAAGTTTCACATGTTGACTGTGGGCTTTGTGGATGTGCTAAACAGTTGGCTTCCTTGACTACCTGCGACGCGTGTTTGAGTCCCCCAAAGAGAAAGAGATTGAAACAGCGGATTCCTTTTTCTGTGATTTACCCTTAGATTGGTGAGTTAGTTAGTTTATTGTGCCAACCTGGCCGATAAACACATGTGGGGTTAATTGAAGGGCAGAGGGATAAATGGCTCGGTGAGCCTCGCCTTTCTAGTTCTCGGGTCTCTTGCTTTGTGATGGTTGGACCAGGGTGCAG